AATATAATAGATAACAATTCGGTACATCTTGATGAGGCAAACACAAAATGTATATCACCTGAATGATGAGGCAAATATGATGACGAACTTGTGAACTAATCGTCACTCGAATGATGACGAACTCGTGAACTAATCGTCACTCAAATAACGATGAACTCGTGAACTAATCGTTACTTGAATAATGGAGCAAATACTAATATATTTCTGACGACGCAAGTGCGAATCGTTTGTTACTCAAATGACGATGCAAGCATCAATCGTTTGTCAATCAAATGATGAAGCGAATACTAATATATCTGATAACGCAAGCGTAAATTGTTTGTTACTCGAATGACGATGCAAGCTTAATAGAGATCAAAATGAGTAGCTATAAAACAAGTAGGTAACAATATATCCATAAGTAGATAACAATATATACTCATAAGTAGGTAACAACCTAATGTAAGTAGGCAGCAATATATATATATTGCTGCCTACTATTTAACTCTTTTACAATAACTTTATTTTAAATACTTATCTATTTATATTGATATATTCTTTATATAATTAGCCTTTTTACATATAATTTAGATATATATCTATATTCGTATAAATATGACAAATCTAGGTAAGCCATGGCTTACCTAGTCAGTTTATATCATTCTAGATGAACCATGGCTACTCTGGTAGGTTTAGGTCGCAGATAAAGTAGTTTGAGCTTCTATTCTTGCTATTCTTTGGATATAGAGTTTATATGTAATTTCTTTCTGTGAAGAAGTTTAAATAAATTTCAATAAAGTTAGAAGTATGGCTTCACCTTGAATATTAAAAAAATAAAAAAAATAAAAAATAAAATAAGCTATTCAGATTCATAAATATTTCTATCTAATTTTTTCTATATTAATTTAGGTGAGTAAAGAAAATAAGCAATTCAAATTCATAAATATTTTTTATTTAATTTTTTTTATTTCTATATTTGCGTAAATTTAGATATATATATTTAAACAATTCAAGTTCATGAAATTTTATATTTATTTTCTTTTATTTGAATTAATTTAGGCATGTATAAAGAAATTTAAAATAAGTTATTCAATAAACTATTCAAATTCAAGAATATTACTATTTATTTTTTTTTATTCATATTAATTTAGATGTATATAAAGAATATCTATTAATCTAATATTTAAAGTTATTAATTAAGTTATATAAGTTCATAAATATTTATTATTTAATTTTTTTATTTATATTAATTCAGGTAAATAGTAAAAAATATAGAAATGTATTAATCTCAGTATTTGAAATAAGTTACAAATATTTACTATTTAATTTCTTTAATTTATATTAAGTAAATGCAGCTATTCGAGTTCATAAATATTTACAATTATTATTTTATTTTATTTAATAATATAAAGATCAAATTAATTTAAATAATTTAAATTTTTTTTTAAAATTTATTTAAAATTTAAGAACATTTATTAATATAAATACTGCAATAATTTAATTTGTCTTTTCAAAAAATAAATAAAATTTTGATTATTATAAGATATTATCTAGTATAGTATTTAAAACTTTTATATATTTTAAATTTTTTTATAATTTTGTAAACAAAGACACCTCAGCATCTATCTAGCCAAACTCAATAAATTTTTTCTTACTAATTCTATAGTTATGTAGAATTAAAATAAAAAAAATTTATCAAATTTGTTAAATAATTGCTAAAATATCTTAGCTTAAAATTTTAAAAATTCAAAATAGCTATTCAAATAAATACAAAAAAGTTTTCAAAACTTTAAGTGAAAATATCTTGGCAAACACTCAACCAAATTTGATAAATAATTTTTATTTTAATTTACAGTTCTATTTAATTAAAATAAAAAAATTCATCAGATTTGGTTAGATGATTGCCAAAATATCTTCACTTAAAGTTTTGAAAAAATTTAATATACTAATTAAAATAAAATGCTAAAAAGGTTTTCAAACTTTGAGTGAAGATTCTCAGCAACTATCTAACAAAATTTAGTAAATTTTTTTGTTATAATTTTACAGTTCTATAGTATTAAAATAAAAAAATTTATTGAATTTGGTTGGGTTGTTACTAAAATATCTCTATTTAAATTTTAAAAAGTTCAAAATATCTATCAAAATAAAAATTTTTTCAAAACTTTGAAAGAGGATATTTTGGCAATAATCTAATCAAGTTCAATAGATTTTTTTGATTCTAAAGATAGCAAAATTAAAATAGAAAAATTCATTGAATTTGGTTAAGTAATTGCTGAGATTTTCTTATTCAAAGTTTTGAAAAAACTTGCTATAGCTATTATTATTAGATTTTTATAAAATTTGAGCAAAGATATTTCGGTATCCACATAACTAGATTTGATAAATTTTTTTTATTTAATTCTATAGGCTGGTGCAAAAAGATTTGTATACCAAAAAATTTTTAAATTTTGGTATTAAGTAAAAGTTTTTAAATTTTGATTAATTATTTAAAATTTTTTTATATTAAATAAAATAGGTTCTAATCTAATTTTTTATATTATTTTTATTATTTTAATACAAATTTATTTTAATAATTTTACACAACTTTTTGAATTTAAAAAAAAATAAAAATTTTTTTAGAAAAAATCTATTTTAATTAATTTTGAAACCAAAATGCAATTTTATAATTTATATTACACAAATGCATTGATATATATATAACTAGAATATCAAAAACTAATAAAATATCTGAAGCAATAAGAGTACCTATAGTGGGCTATTTAATCTATTATATGCAAATATATGTTGTATAACATTATTTAAAAATATGATTAGATATTGCTAACAGACATTGCATAGTTTGGTGTAGAAATATAGATTCTCCGCTATACTTCAGACAATAAATATATGGTTAAAATTTGAGCAAATTTGAATTACTAATTATAACAAAATTAAGATTTAAAGTTTGATAATTTAATTTTTTTATATATATACATATGGATAAATCTATTTGTAACAGCATATTACATAATAGCCTCGAATAATTATCTCAATTAAGATCAAATTTATTATAAAGAATTTAAAATAAAATTTTATTTTTAGTAGTTATTTTTATTATATTTACAATAGAATTGCTATGTAATATAAAATAGATAAATTTATTTGAACATAAATTTTGTATATTACACATTTTTAATGTATTTAAATCTAATAAAATTTATGATTAGAAACATTATAATAATCAAGAAAAAGTTCAAATTCGTAAATGATTCAATAAAATTATATATGACTGTCAACTAATCATATATCTAATTTTAGCAAATCAGTTAATCAGATTAAAAAAAGATTGTGGGATTTACAGAGATTCAAAAAATATCTTAAAGGATGAAGCAAAAACATTAATTCATCTGTTAAATTTATTTTTCTTCATAAACAAATTAAGCTACTTGAGCTTTTTAAAGAAATATTGTAAAATGTATAAAAAAATTATTTGTTAATTAGAAATCATTTATAAATTAAATGATCACTTCTGTTTAATTGAGATCCTATTTCTATGCCAGAACTTGGATACAGCAATATAGACTAATATGCACAATTGTATATAATAGATTAATACTAACATGTTTGATACTTGTTAACAAAAAAACTGCCTTAAACAAATACATGAATTATTGTAGATTTAACTAAAAAAGAAATAGAGAGGAATTTTGATCTTCTTTTTTGTATGCAAGTATAAAGAAAATATAATATATTAAACTTTATTAGAAATGATCATTAGTATATTATACCAGCATTACTTTTCTGAAAAACATGATTTAGATTAGCCATCACATTAAGTAAAAAAAAAGAAAGAAAAATTTCAATCCTAATAACTTCTTCCAGTAGCTAAAAGATAAAATTTCATTTTTTCTGCTAATAAGAAAACAAGTTAGAATCAAATAAGATGAGTAAATATCTAATGATTCTGATACTTCACAGTATTATATTCTGATTAACCACAAATACTACAGATATATTTTGTACGTGAGTTTTGTTTTTTCAGTTGATAATTTATAATGTTTTGTTGCTGAATATCCTTTATATCTTAAACTGATAGATTCTCAACTTGTTCAAGTTCATCTTGATTGTTTGTATCATCGATTTCATGAATTTTATCTTTGAGAAGATCTCGATCTCATTTTCTAGTAACTATAGGTATTATTTCTTTCTGCTGGTCAATGAATTGTTTAACCATATAACTATTTTATTATATTTGTTGTATTCAATAGCAAGTTAAGCAGCCTGCTTTGCAAGTTTTCAGATTTTTTATATTTAGGTTTTTTATATACAGTATGACGTAAAACAGGACTAACCACTTTAAATATAAGATTTAATACTAATCGCATATTAGAAGAATTCTTTGCAGATTCCTGATTTGTAAAATATAAAGATTCTATAGTAAAATCATTTTTATTATGTTCATTAGTAAACTACCATAATGGTATTATCTGGATATGAAATTCTGCAACTTTTGAATATATCATTACTTGAAAATAGTGGCAGCAAATAATACCTCAAGATATATTAGACATAAAGGAGCAAAGGTATGAGATAGAATTGGCCAATACTATATAATATATGTATTTACTGTTTTCAGATCATATATCTATAATTTTCTATACTTCTTGAATATTACTTTTGCCAACTTCAGTAATCATTGACTTTAGCAAAACTTTCTTGGCATCATAAAAGTTCTCAACAAACCTATTTGTTAAATTTAAATCAAAATCCTAAGAATAATAAAATATTAAATTATACAGTATTAGCTTTAAATATTCACATTATACTATATATTTATTTATCTTATTAAATATTTTAATAATATCTAATTGTAGTTGATCTGCAACAAAATAAAGATATTGTGCTATTTTCAAATATTCTGCAAATAAGATATGGGGAGTAAGATATTTAGCCATTAGTTGATCAATTTTTGAAAAAATATTATACTCTATAGATTTGATTCTCATAGAAGATAATAAAATACGATATTCAAAAAAGTGACTCTATTGTGCCTTATCTTTAAGTTTTTCTTCAATAGCATTAGCAAGGTCACATAGAGTACTACTTGATGATAGTACATTCTTGATAATATGATTCAAACTTTCAACATGAGAAGTAGTTTGAACTCCTGCTATAAATATTTTTGTTATGAATGTATAGGTCTATACTTATCTATTGGGTAAAGAGCTTTCTCTAAATAATCTTTAGTGCTTTCATATTTTTTAATCAGATGTGTCTATCTTTCATAAAACAATTCTTCACACAAGCTATTGTAATACAAAAAAAAGTTATGAACAAACTATTATACTAATCATGAAGTTTGGACTTAAGATTTTTGGGCAAGTTCTCACTTATGTAAAAAATACAATGAACTTAATACATCATCTCATATACTTGTCCAATTGCAGCATCTGCTGTAGGATCTGCATCTATGATTAATACTAATAGTTCAGTTAAAGTCATATTTTTTATACAAGTTAAAATCTATTTATAAGAATCAATTGTTTTATCTAAAATCAAAGCTTGTACAATGAGATGTGATCTCATATTGTTGTCCACCACAAAAAACAATGAAAGTGGCATTTGATAATAGTTAGTTTTGGTAGTATTATTATTCAAAACCATATCATGGTATTCTATTCAAAATGCAACCTGCACTGGTAATATTTAAAAAAGGCAAACAAGTCTATTTTCGGT